GCACACACACACACAGACATGGATATGGATGGGGCAAACTCCTAAATATATCCACATAATAACAGCATGCAGCACAAACACACACAGGCATGCTTACGCATTAACAGACAGATACACCAGAGCCTATATATTTATTCACAGATGGTTATCAGTGCCACAAAGGACCACCTGTGTGTGTGTGTGTATCCGTGTCTCTGTGGGGTTAATATGATAGAGGGAGGGTACTGCTGATATGAGGGGCTCAGATTTCCCCTGAGACTCTGTAGTCCATAGTGTCCGCTGCACAAAAGCCATGACTGTATATAACACTGCTTGCAGTGACACACACACACACAAACACACACACATGAGACCTATGCTCTCCAGAGTCATCAATGATTAATGTCCCAAGCCAAGCCACATCACAGAGCCAGGCTGGCCAAATGACAAGGAACAGCGTGGGCTAGCCCAAGCCATCCGGTGTGTTTCTCTCTCTCTCTCTCTCTCTCTCTCTCTCTCTCTCTCTCTCTCTCTCTCTCTCTCTCTCTCTCTCTCTCTCTCTCTCTCTCTCTCTCTCTCTCTCTCTCTCTCTCTCTGTCTCTCTCTGTCTCTCTCTCTCTGTGTGTGTCTCTCTCTCTCTCTCTCTCTCTCTCTCTGTGTCTCTCTCTCTCTCTCTGTGTCTCTCTCTCTCTCTCTGTGTGTCTCTCTCTCTGTGTGTGTGTCTCTCTCTCTCTCTCTCTCTCGGTGTGTGTCTCTCTCTCTCTCTGTGTGTGTCTCTGTCTCTCTCTCTGTCCCTGTGTCTCTGTCTCTCTCTCTCTGTCTCTGTGTCTCTGTCTCTCTCTGTGTGTCTCTGTCTCTCTCTCTCTCTCTGTCTCTCTCTGTGTCTCTGTCTTTCTCTCTCTGTGTGTCTCTCTCTCTCACTCTCTCTCTCTGTGTCTCTGTCTCTCTCTATCTCTGTCTCTCTGTGTCTCTGTCTCTCTCTCTCTCTCTCTCTCTCTCTCTGTCTCTGTCTCTGTCTCTCTCTGTCTCTCTCTCTCTGTGTGTCTCTGTCTCTGTCTCTCTGGAATTTCAATCAGCAGCTGTATCTTTACATTTACTTGTCGCTCTACTATGTAGGGCAGTAAATCTTAAAGATAAAGCATTGTAGCAGTAAAGAGTTAGGATCTGGCAAAGCGCTTGGCCCTTGAGGTTGTTTGTCACAAATGGCCATGAGAGTGTGTTGGGGGTCATGTTTTTGAAAGAGTTCATACTGGGAAAAACAACAACAGCAAAAGGTCAAATTTGTCAAATCCTTGATTTACTAATTTGATATGCAGCTGGGCAATTGAACTGTAACGGAATTACGCTTTGACTCAGATTTTTCACTTGAAAATGTATGCCAAACAAAAACCATTGATTTCAGTTTAACAAACCATACAACTCCATGCACAAGGACTACTTTGAACAATATACACAAAATGTTACAAAAACAAAATTATTGGAAGAAGTGTGCAGAATGAAAAATTTGGTAACAGAATTACTGTAAAATCGGCCTCAGTTTTTTATGCGACCACACTGCTTCGAATTACGATTCAAATATGTTTGCAGAAGGAATGGGGTGTCAGCTATGACATGACAACTTGGGTGTTTCTCAATATGCATACTATCATGCTCCACACTCCCATGCTCCAGAGTGTGTTCTTCAAGGGCGTTCTATAATATAATAATATAATATGCCATTTAGCAGACGCTTTTATCCAAAGCGACTTACAGTCATGCGTGCATAAATTTTTTGTGTATGGGTGGTCCCGGAGATCGAACCCACTACCTTGGCGTTACAAGCGCCATGCTCTACCAGCTGAGCTACAGAGGACCAGGTTCTATTGAGTACGTTCTCATTAGGACAAAAGTGTGGAGAACGCATACATTTTACATTACACTCCCGTGCTACTGCATTACTTTTGACCTTTTAGAGTAAATTGCATCATCAATTGCTGCATAGAAATTTGGTTAGCGAAAGTAGCTAGCTAGCTAGTTAAGCTAGCTAACATTAGCAAGAGACTACTTGTGTTTATATGATATGCATTAGCTTTCAAAATGTTTAACATAATGTTGACATAGAACATTAGCATAGATAGCTAATGACCCTACTTGTCTACTAGCAAAAGGTAACTTGCTGCTAGTGCAGTAGCTATACCTCGTCATGATCCATGGTTATTTAGCAAGCTGCCCAAGTTAGCTGGCTAGCTAAGCTATCACTTGTCATGATTGATGGCTATATGGGCTACTTAAGTTATCACTTTTGTACAACGGGTTACCAACATATTGAAATAATGACTGACATATTTTCATTAAAAACGTTATTTGGAATAATTTATTTGTACTATTTCATCCTTCCACAAGATATAGTCCCGACACAAATCTAGGGTTGCCAGTCATTCGCTCTTTTTGTTCTGTATCTATGGACGTGACCCAGTCGTTCGTTCTAAATGGCTTCAACGTTCTTATCCCTTGCTTGCTAGCTAGCCAACTACGGCTAATTTACAGTTACGTCAAAAGGTTCCACCAGAATATCAGCCAGCAAAGTAGCTGCATTTGCATTTGTTTAAGCTGTTTTCTAGTGACAATTATTTGAATACATCCATAACAATCAGCTTATGATGCGCGACTTTGCCTGGTAGAGAAAATGTGCTCTCTTGTCAGGACACTGTTCAGATGAAAGAAAGAAAATCCATGACATTCATTTGAGCTGATTTTAATAAATGAAACCATACATTCTCTTTGTTATCCACCACAGATGACATACAGTGGGGAAAAAAGTATTTAGTCAGCCACCAATTGTGCAAGTTCTCCCACTTAAAAAGATGAGAGAGGCCTGTAATTTTCATCATAGGTACACGTCAACTATGACAGACAAATCCAGAAAATCACATTGTAGGATCTTTTATGAATTTATTTGCAAATTATGGTGGAAAATAAGTATTTGGTCACCTACAAACAAGCAAGATTTCTGGCTCTCACAGACCTGTAACTTCTTATTTAAGAGGCTCCTCTGTCCTCCACTCGTTACCTGTATTAATGGCACCTGTTTGAACTTGTTATCAGTATAAAAGACACCTGTCAACAACCTCAAACAGTCACACTCCAAACTCCACTATGGCCAAGACCAAAGAGCTGTCAAAGGACACCAGAAACAAAATTGTAGACCTGCACCAGGCTGGGAAGACTGAATCTGCAATAGGTAAGCAGCTTGGTTTGAAGAAATCAACTGTGGGAGCAATTATTAGGAAATGGAAGACATACAAGACCACTGATAATCTCCCTCGATCTGGGGCTCCACGCAAGATCTCACCCTGTGGGGTCAAAATGATCACAAGAACGGTGAGCAAAAATCCCAGAACCACACGGGGGGACCTAGTGAATGACCTGCAGAGAGCTGGGACCAAAGTAACAAAGCCTACCATCAGTAACACACTACGCCGCCAAGGACTCAAATCCTGCAGTGCCAGACGTGTCCCCCTGCTTAAGCCAGTACATGTCCAGGCCCGTCTGAAGTTTGCTAGAGTGCATTTGGATGATCCAGATGAGGATTGGGAGAATGTCATATGGTCAGATGAAACCAAAATAGAACTTTTTGGTAAAAACTCAACTCGTCGTGTTTGGAGGACAAAGAATGCTGAGTTGCATCCAAAGAACACCATACCTACTGTGAAGCATGGGGGTGGAAACATCATGCTTTGGGACTGTTTTTCTGCAAAGGGACCAGGACGACTGATCCGTGTAAAGGAAAGAATGAATGGGGCCATGTATCATGAGATTTTTAGTGAAAACCTTCTTCCATCAGCAAGGGCATTGAAGATGAAACGTGGCTGGGTCTTTCAGCATGACAATGATCCCAAACACACGCCCCCGGGCAACGAAGGAGTGGCTTCGTAAGAAGCATTTCAAGGTCCTGGAGTGTCCTAGCCAGTCTCCAGATCTCAACCCCATAGAAAATCTTTGGAGGGAGTTGAAAGTCTGTGTTGACAAGCGACAGCCCCAAAACATCACTGCTCTATAGGAGATCTGCATGGAGGAATGGGCCAAAATACCAGCAACAGTGTGTGAAAACCTTGTGAAGACTTACAGAAAACGTTTGACCTGTGTCATTGCCAACAAAGTGTATATAACAAAGTATTGAGAAACTTTTGTTATTGACCAAATACTTATTTTCCACTATAATTTGCAAAGAAATTCATTAAAAATCCTACAATGTGATTTTCTGGAAGAAAAATTATCATTTTGTCTGTCATAGTTGACGTGTGCCTATGATGAAAATTACAGGCCTCTCTCATATTTTTAAGTAGGAGAACTTGCACAATTGGTGGCTGACTAAATACTTTTTTTCCCCACTGTAGCTATAGATACTTATTGTATGTCACATTTATCTGTACATTCTCCTGGATGGTGCATTGGTTGAAATATCTATCGGAGTCTGTGCTACTATCTCTGCTGCCTTGCTTCAGCCTTTTGGGTGTTGATGGTGCTGCAGTGTTCTCTTTGTTTTTGGCCAGGATGTTGCTCCAGCGTTTTCTGTCTGTCAGTGAGGGACACCAGTAGCTGTGGAAAGAACCTTTGCACCGATGCCCACTCACTGACATAATCTCCCTCGCTTCTAAACCAGCAATGGTCAGTTTCTGGACTGTCGTGGTCCTGATGCTGTGATTTGTGTATGCAGTTGTTCGCGCTGTCCTGCAGATCTTGGGTAGAAGTGCTAACAGATAGTTCACGCCCATCGGCTCTGACGTGTACCAGATCGAGTCCCTGATACACTCTCCTTGGGTGGAGATAAAATGCAAGGGCGTTCTCTGGGCATTTCAATAGATATTTCTCCAGTGATGACTCCCTTTCCCTCTCCCTTGGGTCCAGATGATCTTTGTGGCCTCGTTATGTGAGAGTGGCGTATCTGAGATAGAGAATGCGTTGTTATAATGTTGTTTTCCAGTAGCCTAATTACGAGTGCAACTTAGAAATAACACAAACAGTCTATGAACAACATACCTTAGACCATTCTCGTCTGTTTTTACGAGGAATGAGTTGGGCTCAAACTTTCTGGAACAGAACCCTTGGTGTACCGGGATTCAGAACCTGGGAGTTTTGGAGCTGGGCCATGTCCTTATCGGAGATGGGAGGGTGGCTATTTGTGATATCTTTTCCTTGCCTTCTTAGCTGTTTGATGTTGCCCAGAAACACATGATTCAAGGTGGTAAATTCAGTGTCCTTCATAAGGCACCAGCTGCGACCGATGGGTGGGTCATTTAGAAACCGGTTCAGCCCACTCCGGAGTGTCAGGTAGCTACTTATGCTGTACTGCTCCCCCTTCCCATTTCATAAATTTCCATGAACCTGTCGGAGAAAGATGTTAACCTCTATGGGATCGTTGTCCCGTATACGGGACAGTTGAGCTAACGTGCTCAATATTATATTGTGGCCTTACTCTTGCATTTCAAACATTTGTTTGTATTATCTTTTACCAGATCTAATGTGTTATATTCTCCTACATTAATTTCACATTTCCACAAACTTCAAGGTGGTTTCCTTTCAAATGGTATCAAGAATATGCATATCCATGCTTCAGGTCCTGAGCTACAGGCAGTTAGATTTGGGTATGTCATTTTAGGCGAAAATTGAAAAAAAGGGTCCGATCCTTAAGAGGTTAAACTCTTCCTTAGTGACAGTTTTGAAGTCAACAACTTTTTTCTTCTCTGCTAGCCAGCCCTCGAAGCACCACACAGCCCAGTTTGTATTCTTAACTGTATTTTTTTGTTGAGGCTTTTCTCTAGGTCATTCAATGCAGTATCCCCCAAATCTGCATGCCTGGGTATTATTGCCATCTCTTTTTCCCAGTCATCCAGTCATGCCGCCGAAAATATCAAATAAATGTTCCACTCATCCATTTTAGTTTTCGCAACAAAGTATCGATTTAGCCAGTCAACTGAAAAAAGGTTTTGTATGTTGCTATGACAACCAGCTCAATTTGCTGTCTGTCTCCTTCGAACACATTCACTTTATATGGGACGGTGAAGAATGCATTTCAATATTCAAACAATATTGAGAAGGTCGGCGAGACAGACAGCAAGGTTTATACAAAGCTCTTCTGTTGAAAACCAAATGCTAGTCTAAAAGAAATGGGAGATAATGTCTAGATGCATTTTATAGTGGAGATCAAGTTTATACATTTCCTGGCAAGGTTGATGAGACAGTGGATTGCGCAGTCAGATGGAACAGAGTAAATAGGCATTTCAACGTCATAGATTTAACCGGTGGTAACTTGTGAAATAGACACCAGCTGGAATGCAGTTTTAACCAATCAGTATTCGGGATTAGACCCACCTGTATAATACACAGCAACCCTGTAAAACATGTCAATATAACATGGTACTAGCTACGCTACAAATAAACATCCGGATGATACACGGACCCGACAGCTAGGAGGATATCTATCCGGAGGAGGGCAGCTAGATGGCGGTAGCGGGAGGAAGCACTGAGAGAGTATCTATTGTGGGACTTCCCAATGACTACAGACTACAGTTTGCTGATATTATCACGCAGTCAGCACTGTTCACCATCCTCACTGTCAGATTGTATTTTTGAAGTGAGAGGGTAGGAGTTGGGACACGCGAATCTACCAATTCTTCGTGGCTAGCCAGCCAGTTAGCCTCATTGACTTACTATGGGGTTGCAGGTAGCTTAGTGGTTAAGAGCGTTGTGGCAGTAACTGAAAGGTCGCTGGTTCTAATCCCTGAGCTGACTAGGTGAAAAATCTGTCGATGTGCCCTTGAGCAAGGCATTTAACCCTAGTTGCTCTGTATAAGAGCGTCTGCTAAATGACTAAAATGTTGCGATCTACGCACACTACAGTGGGTATAGGCAGGTAAACATGCCAAAATTAACACAGAATGTATTTATTAACGTATCAAGATAAAATATTGCAGTCAGGCAACATATGAGATGCGAATAGGCAACATTTCATTCTGACATCAGGGTTTATTTTATAATGTCCACCAATGATTTCAAGAAATGTTGCATCGTTTTTTTACGTGGTTGCGTTATATTGCTGTCTATACTTTTCAATGAAGCTTGCATCGATGCATGCTTTGAAATGTGTACAAGCAGAGTACGCATCCAAGAAGTTCCCTCCATGCTCCATTTCGCATACTTTGATTTGGACTCCGACTGATGCATACTCTAATTTCCGTGCTCGGAGCACGGTAGTATGCATATTGAGAAACACCCTTTGAGTTGAAAACAATTATTTTGGTTATTGAACTACAATAGATAAGTGGATTTACAGTACATCTGGTAACGCAATTACAGTAACGGAATCCCTGGTCCCTGATCTGTACTACACAGAAATGCATAATTATGGATAAGAATAACATTCTCTTTATGGCGACCTACCCTGAATAGGTACACAAAGGTAGAAATATGCAATATCCTTATTTTGCATATGTGTGTCTTATTATACATACTGGCTATTATTCCAATGACCTCCACCCCCAAACAAGATCACATTTGGTTGGTCAGGACCAGACCAAATCTGAACCAATCATAGATGTCTATGTTTCACAAGTCTGGACAGTACAGTACAGTAGACTACAGTAAAGTAGATATGTATTCCGTACAGTACAGTAAAATACTGTACTGTACTTTTCTTTACTTTAATGTACTATACCTTTTCTGTACTGTACTGAACTCTACTCTGATGTGCTGTACTGTACAGACTTGTGGAACATAGACATCTATGATTGGTTCAGCTTTGGTCCAGCCAGGGCGGACTTACCAAACTAATTTTCAACATCGATGGATGTCCGGTGTCGGTCGGTGCTCAGTGGGTGAGGATGCTTGTTACAGTAAATGGAAAGCGGGTAGGTGGTAGGTGTCAGGAAGAGCCAGGAGAGGTGACATTAACTAGAAAGAGAGACAGTATGCCAGTGGAAGGGAGGACAGTATCAGGTGACCCAATTGTGGTTTGTGACTACTCTGATTTCCCATAGTAGTCAATTCAATTGCAGTAATTGCGTTACTGATTTAGTTTTTGTTTTAATCACTTAATAATTTATTAACAAACTTTATATCAGTGAAAACGCTAACTAATTGGTAGGTCTACATTTACTTGTTGCTTCTATGAACTTTCATTGTCCTCCCTTCTCATGAGGGAGAGAAATTAGAAAATATTTTCATTGTTTTTGGTTACTGAATTACAAGGCACAAGGCAATGTTTCTTAAACTTACAGAAAGCAAACAATTTCTCCAAATCAAAATAAGTGTTTCTAATAACTTTAAAGACTATTTCTGATAGATGTTGTCAAAGACCCCATTTCCATCTGTTTGACTAGAAATCAAAGCTTTTGCTTATTCCAATTTTTGGGGATGGAAAATGTTAGAAAAATGTATATATGCCTACATTTCTAAAAATACAAATATAGACTCTTAGCTTTCATTTGAAAACCAATTTGACATGCTCCTATGAACTTCACATGTTGTTGCTCATGGGTCCTTTTTAGATGGAAATGCCCAGCTGTTTAATTAGTATATACAAATAGTTTTATATGGGTATTCAGTGTTCAGACAGATGCTTTTGAATGTTAACACTGGTAGCAGCATCACCAGGTTCTTTATTTGTTTGGTTCTCTGTGTGTATGCAGTTTCACTGGCCTGCTCCTGAATCACAGATGGCAGAGGCATTGGGGAGTCATTCTGTGTCAGACCCTCGCGGGACCCATTTTGTTCCTTTTAAACAAAAGGAGTTCATCCTGAATAATCCTTAATTAGCCCTCTGGCATTTAGAGCACACTCTCACTTCCCTCACCTAGCCCTCCCACTAGCTCCTAGCTTTCTGCTTAAACACTATTGATCTATGGCATTGCAGTGGTGCGGCGGGGGGTTTGTGTGTGTGGCTTTAAAACAGCGTGATGCAGTGACTCTTTAATATACTTGCACTCAATCACAGACTCACACACACACACTAGACGATGATGGAAAATAACAATAGTTTAGATGTTGTTTCTGCTGTGTTGGATTCTAGTAGTTGGTGAGCTTCTTGAGTCATTACTGCATCTTTACTGAAACTGTGTCCAACGGATTCAAATGCCCTCTGCTGCTCATTTTAAAAATAATTTGGCTTTATCTCTTAAAAGAAAGAAGACATCTACTTTGTTTACAGTGGAAAAGTGAGATAGAGATGAAGTTGCTATTTAATTTTGAAAGTATGCAGACAGATGGAGTGAGTCTTTGGTCGTGACAGGGTGGCATCCTTGGCTTGTGATGCCTAGGGTGCGATGGTGAGTTTGTGGGCGTTTTGCCGGCTTTTGCCAATCAGGAGCAACAAGAACTCAGACACGCTTGTTCTTCCAGCAGCCACTCGGATTAGGTAGTCAGCGGCAATCACACATACACAGGGAGCGCACACAGACACACTCACACATATACGCATACACACAGACACATGTACAGAAAGAAGCACGAGGGCATGCACGCAGAAACACAAACAGCAACACACACACTCACAAACATGCACACAAATCACACACACACACGAGAGCACAGCAGTAGCAGTTCTTACATTACACTAATCCTGTGTCCATGGAGCCCAATCTCTCACTAGCCCCAGGGAGGGGGAAGATCAGCCAGCATATGTTTCTCCATATCCCTCCATCCCTCCATTCCTCCATCCTTCTCTCTATATGTCTATCTATCAGATCGTCTGTCTCAGCCAGGTCACCCATGATACAAGTCAGTATTCGACGTCCATCCATGTCTGAGGACGTCGGGAGATGATGTGGAAACCGGCCACTAGGGGCAACAGTGAGTGTAGGTTTCGGTTTTGCTTGGGCGTTGTGGATGGGGATGGGCGTAAACATCTACCTCTGATTCCAAAGATTGCAAGTTTGCATCCAGAGATAGATTTTTGTTTTAAGCCTATCCCAAACCTTAACCCTTACCTTAACCATTTGGAGATAATGCCTAGCCTTAAGATTTCTGAGTTAATGCCTAAACTTAACCCTAACCTTAAAAATTCCGGAGTTAATGCCTAAACTTAAACACATCGAAATTTGACGTTTGGATCAACTTCGAAATTTGATGTTTGAGAAACATGGATGAATGTCTAATTCAGACGTGAGACAATGAGAGCTAGTTGGTCTGTCTAGCCCTCCTCTCTGTATGTATGCCTGCCTGTCTGGTTGTCTATCTGTCTGTCTGTTTCATTCATTATAAATAGCTGA